AAAACAATTTACGGCAATCACTAATGTAAGAGTAAGAGCTTCCACTCCAACACTGGGCGCACCTGAAAACAAACTAAACTTCTCTCGACTGAAAGCCAACAAAAAAATGTTTAGTTTGTGTGCGAAGAGTCTGACACTCTGTCTGCCTCTACCTCTCCTCTCGATTGCCTTAACTCTCGGCTCACGAATAGGTTGTGTAACAGAGATATTATATTTAGGGATCGCTTTTTTAGCCCTAACTCAGGGAGTGTTTGTTCGCCTCTAAGGCCCACATATTCACAGCACAACTCATAGCAGAAATTCTTTCTGTTTTTTCTCTGTCGACAAAGAATTCACTGATGGAGAGAGCCGTATGAGTGGGACAGGTATGGTATGGCAGAGCGCATACAGTTTACGGGGAAAAGCAACACAAGAGTGGGGACTGAACTGGTATTGCGAGGTATGCGACGCCTCAATGCGAGGCATCCCCTCCTTCAGAGGGCCGGTCGTCATGTGCTGTAAACGCAATGCAAAAGTCATATAATAGTTATTTGATCGACAAATGCATAGACTTGTACGGAATGGGGGACTGCGGGCGCACTTCTCCACTCATTGCCAATGAGCGCAAATGTTGATCATCACCGGCACAGACGGCACAGACACCTGACCTTCACAAGCCATCCACACAATGACTGCCCGAGTGGTCACGTGACGCATATTTTGTCTAACTTTTTGTCCGTGAAATGGCTTTAAACGCATCACTTCTTTATAATAGATAATTGTTTTGTGGCTTTGGTTTAGCGCACAATCCAGTGATGAGTAATACCACTGAATACATCTCTCTCTCTCTCTCTCTCTCTCTCTCTCTCTCTCTCCATCCGACACAACAATCTATTGATCAGATAATCGCCAAAATGTATCAAAACATTCATTTTTGGACAATTATATGAAGAAGTTATTTATCAAAACACTGCAAACTTTTGCCCAAAAAACGTGAATATAATTCTGATTTATTGCTGGAAACGAAGCATTCGTCCGATTTTTTATCGTTGCGGCAAAGAATCTGTTTTCGCGTTTTTGTGACTTTAAAAATATATTTGATTTGCGAATTAAAGTCTTAGCGTTCGGTATAAGGGATTCATAAAATGGTATTTGTATTTATATGTGGCATATATTGGGTAACTGTTATTAAGACAAGTTTGCATTGCTTTGGCCGAGTGATCGTCAAAGAGACTGATCCGCAGAGAATATGGTTAAAAAAATACATAAAATGATTGTATTATCGGATAGAGAAGTGTAGCGGCAGTGAAGTGATTGCATACTTTGTTATTCAGTTGTAAATTTTCGCAATGTTTTTATGATTTGTGGTGTTTTGGAAGACCAGACCATAAATGTATTTCCTCTGATGTGATGCAAGATTGACAGAGCAATAGACAAAACCAAACGCACTGTTAGTACACTATACCAGACAACTATATGGTATATATTGAAGATTTTAGCTTATGGTTTGCATCGGATCATGAGATCATGAACTGAATCACTATTGTGTGGGTTTTTGTACCACAATTGACACAATTAGCTGCGGTTGACCTGAAAATAAACTTTAAAATTATATTCCAATACACAATATATTTAAATTTACAAATGTATTAATGACTGATACATATTAACAGGCAATTAGAGAAGGCTATCGATATTTTGCATTCCTTTAGCCATTGGATTCTTTACTCATTCAGTGTTCGCGAGTATTATATAATTAGGAGTCGCTCTCCTCCCAGGAAATGGGTTGGTAGTGAATACTATGTCTAATCTGCCATATAATATCTGTCCATTAAACCTATCAACCACTCTCTCTCTCTCTCTCTCTCTCTCTCTCTCTCTCTCTCATTCATAATATTCATCCAAAGAATTTTTAGTTCGCGAATAAATCAATTATTATTATTCTGGAAACTGTAGGGCCGCTCCTCATCATCACTACTACACTCAATGGCACAGACTTTACTATACGTGCGGATAAAACTACAGTATGTGTTATTATTATTGTGTCCAACGATATCCTTAAAGGTATGGCTTATAACCAGAGAGCGAGTGATAGTGAGAGAGAGAGAGAGAGAGAGAGAGAGAGAGAGAGCCAAATGATGAGACATTTTTGTTTTGATTTTTGTTGTAAACCATCAAAAAGAAGTCTTTCTTAAATACTTGAGGCATAAAAGATAAATATTCGTCAAATCATTTCGATTTCAGCAAAATATCTATGTTTTTGTGTACACCTGTGCTCTCATAATGTATTCACTGTATGTATAGTATAACCGCTTTAAACTATTTTGTTTCTCTCGGGCATTATTTTTAGGGCAAATAATTTTCTTGTCTTACATTTTATTTTTTCAAGAATCCATTTTTAACTCTATATTTATAACACATATAATGTCCCAAATTTGTTGATTGAAATGTTTACTGTACACTGTACACAATGTACACTGTATTGTAATGGATCTAAAAGTTTGTGCAAAATTAGTTTATGGTTTAAATTAGTTTTTAATATAAATTCATATCTCATTTGTTGTGTTTGTGTTTCAATTTCATTAATAATTGTAATTAATTTAGTATAAAATTAATGGGTTTTGTTGAACATAATTAATTAGTTATCAAAGATCGGTAGAGATAACTTTAAATTGTCAAAGGGTAACAATAAAATCC